TGACATATGCACTCAGTAAGCCAGGAGTCGCGGTTAGGAGCTCGCCTGCGGATCGGAAGGTCGTGGGTTCGCTCCCTGGCTGAGTCGGACTTTTTTCAAAAATGATGTTGGCTCCCAGGTAGACCAAGTGGGTACCAGGTGCAATCCTGGGAAGTAAAGGCGGCCGGCATGATGCTGAGTGTGCCGAGTGGTCTATATAAATATAGGTCTAGCCCTATGTACCCTATACGCCTAAAGGCGTGGAAAAGGGTCCTTTACTTAGTAAGCTAAGCTCTACTACTATACAGTAGTATTTTCAGTCTGTTTTGTTATTACCTTAAATATTCCATCTTCATGAGTAATTTCAGTGAAAGTCCCCCATGGTCTCACACTAACACATTACCAGTCTGTCGCAGACAGTACTTCGGGCGGTCTAGTTACAAATCCCATCACCCCGGCAAATTCAACAGCTACTCAATCTACTCCTCCTTCTCGGGGCACATCGAAACGAACTCTTCATAGCGCCAGGGATATGGGATCCGATTCCTTATTCGACCGGTCCAAGCCTTGCAGTCACACTCACACATTTGACGGGAGCCGCCGGCGTTGTCTGCGATACTAACGTTTAAGAAATACTAACTACGATTCCAAGTCGCCTTGCCGCGTCATTTCCCCGGTGCTGATGAAAATTCCCCCGGGGTCTCGTCGTTTTTGCTATCGCATCATTTAAAATAGTGTTCTACTGTGGATTTTGATCTTGGAAATGGCAGCACAAGTTTGAGGTTTTGAAAAGGGCGGGTGATTATTTTTATTTAAATATAGAGTTTAACGTTCTCAGTCGCAGACATTTGTTACTGGAAAGTGATGTCAAGGGAGTGCTAAGAGTGATATCAATGACAGTCTAGAAATTATTTACCAGATTACTTAAACAGGCGTATCTGTTACTCTTTGAGTGGTGGTTTTCCCCTCAAGTTTTGTAATGAGTGGCTGACTAGGTTAGGTAAAGAAATTACTGTCACGGTACAAGTAAAGAAATTACTGTCACGGTACAAGTAAAGAAATTACTGTCACGGTATAAGTAAAGAAAATACTGTCACGGTACAAGTAAAGAAATTACTGCCATGCGGTGCAAGTAAAGAAATTACTGTCACGGTACAAGTAAAGAAATTACTGCCGCGCGGTACAAGTGAAGAAATTACTGTCACGGTACAAGTAAAGAAATTACTGTCACGGCACAAGTAAAGAAATTAATGTTACGGTACAAGTAAAGAAATTACTGTCACCGTACAAGTAAAGAAATTACTGTCACGGTACAAGTAAAAATTACTGTCACGGTACAAGCAAAGAAATTACTACCACGCGGTACAAGCAAAGAAATTACTGTCACGGTACGAGCAAAGAAATTACTGTCACGGTACAAGTAAAGAAATTACTGTCACGGTACAAGTAAAGAAATTACTGTCACGGTACAAGTAAAGAAATTACTGCCACGCGGTACAAGTAAAGAATTTACTGTCACGGTACAAGTAAAGAAATTACTGTCACGGTACAAGCAAAGAAATTACTGCCACACGGTACAAGTAAAGAAATTACTGTCACGGTACAAGTAAAGAAATTACTGTCATGGTACAAGTAAAGAAATTACTGTCACGATACAAGTAAAGAAATTACTGTCACGGTACAAGTAAAGAAATTACTGTCACGGTACAAGTAAAGAAAATACTGCCGCGCGGTACAAGCAAAGAAATTACTGTCGCGCGGTACAAGTAAAGAAATTACTGTCACGGTACAAGTAAAGAAATTATTGTCACGATACAAGTAAAGAAATTTCTGTCACGGCACAAGTAAAGAAATTACTGTCACGGTACAAGTAAAGAAATTACTGTCACGGTACAAGTAAAGAAATTACTGCCACACGGTACAAGTAAAGACATTACTGTCACGGTACAAGTAAAGAAATTACTGTCACGGTACAAGTAAAGAAATTACTGTCACGGTACAAGTAAAGAAATTACTTTCACGGCACAAGTAAAGAAATTACTGTCTGCGAATGGGCAAATAAATAACTGTTTCAAAATAGGAACAGGAATAAGTCTTGAAAAGAATTTACAAACAAATTACCGGAGACTTAGTACATCAACACTTGTATTTCCCAGATGTTTTCTCACAATGATGATTTTATCCCCTCTTCTCTGTCCTAAGGATTATTTAATAAATTTATCTCTAGGAATTAACAAAGAGATTTCAGTCTTTAAATTTCACAAGTTGTATTTATATCTGCTTAGTTGCTTAGTGCGCATTTGTTATGCTATATGGCTTGAGTGTTGTAATGATGGTCCAAGGGAGCTGAAGAAAATTTATCTGAAACTGAAAATGTTGCAAACATAGCTAGAGCACAGACATTGAAATTAGCAACGAGGGCACCAACATTGAAATTGGGAGCTGGAACGCAAACATTGGTAATGGCAGTTATAGTTTCAACAAAGGGGTCACTCTCCATTACTGTCCCCTGTGAAATAATTTACAGTGACTGCAGTCTCAGCTAAGCTAGTAGCATAACTGCTTTTAATGCACAAAGCAGCCGGCAGAAGTGCCAGCACAAACAGCCCGACACTAGAAATGCAGTTCGCCGTCAGTGGAAACAGCAGTTACAACAGATCACTGGTTGCACGCTTAATAGATACCGTCAGTTTTCTGGCAGCAGGCCACTTGCCATTTTTTGGAATCTGCATTTCACAACACAGACCACGTCTGGCACAGTCGAAAAGCATTCCAAGTGAAATCCCCAGCTCACAGGTTTGCGCCGTGCCCTCGGCTCCGTAGATAAGCGTCGGAACTATATCCTTTCAGCCTAGATATGAAGGCAAATGCAATGGTTAACTATTTTCCGAAGCAAAAACTTGTCCCAGTACTAACAGTAAACTTGCCTATCCGCCATATTGAAATAAGCAACCAGGACACCAGCATTGAAATTTAAAAACTGGGACTTCGTCTGTCACATGTTGAGGGAAAGAAACAGTCGTTTTGGTAGCTCGCTATTTCCTCCCCGTTGGGGTGAGCCCATCATCATCATCATCAGGTGCCTTGCCGACTGGCGTGGGCGATCATGCCTCTCCATAATCTGCTATCCCCTGCAGCATGTATCAGTTCGTGTGCTGACACACCTCCATGCCATGCAACAAGACTGTCAAGCATCTTCTCTCGTTGTCTTCCTTTATCCCTTTTTCCACAGATCTTTCCAGTGGTCACAACATGTTCTATTTTCCCTCTTCTCATAACATGGCCGCAAAATGATGACTGTCTCCTTCTGATGTCTGTGAAAAGTTGTCTTCGGGCTCCCGCCTCTTTCAAAACCTCTTGGTTTGCTCTTTTTGGCTGTCCAAGGTATTCTAAGTATTCTTCTGTAAAACCACATCTCTGAAGCCTCTACAAATTGTTTGGCTTGCCTACCGATTGTCCAGGATTCACATCCATATGTTAAAACTGGATGTATGTAGCAAGCAAAAATTCTTTTTCTAACTCTCAATGACAAGGATATATTGCACAAGATGTTTTTCATTTTATAAAATGCAGTTTTTGCCTGTCCAGTTCTGTTTCCTATTTCAGTTATGCATGTTCCATCTGATGTTATCCCTGTGCCCAGATATTTAAATTTCTGTACTTGTCCTAAAATAACACCATTGACTTTTATTACACATTTAGGAATAATTTGTTTCTTTGATACCACCATTACTTCTGTCTTCCCATTATTCAAACTGAGGCCCATTCTTCCACTTTCTAACACCACAATGCCTATCATTTCGGTGGGAGCCCAGATATGTAAAAACCAACAGACACCCACCCCCTGGGTTTTAGGGGTACAGTGGACTAGCAGCATGCAAAGAACTTTTCCGGTGCCCTGTCCCTGTCCCAACCACGCTAGATAATTGACGCGGGCTCACAGATCGACCAAGTCTAAAAGGAGTACGAGGGATGTCGTTGGAAGTAAAAGCAGTCAGCAGGATTTTGATCTCATGACGCCATCACTCGTCGAATAACAGTTGGTCCAAAATAAAATGAGTCTAGCACTGTTTGCCTGATTTGCCAGAGGCGTGAAAAGGATCACATACTACACTGACTGTGCTATCGGTACGTCGTAAGGTACCATTTCTAAAGGCATTTTCTTCCGTACTACGGTAATAGACACTTATTGGTTAGTACCGGCACCTTATTTTTTTAGACACTTTTCTAGAAATAAAAGCTCTGCTTATAGTCCATGACATGTAACATTGGTAATTATGTCTGTTCACTGCCTTTTGTTCTATGTGCGATTCATCAGAAGGGATATACGGCAGGTAGCTTGGTTCATTGGGACGTATTTCCTTATGTATCTCCTTGACTACGGCTGTTGGAAAGAGGGGATCGAGAATAGAATAAGGCCCATTGTTTTCCGGCAAAAATGATTCTGTTAAGTAACCAGCTAGATAACGACAGAGTCAGATTGGTGTCTACAGTCTTCAGCCTGCTGGGAAAGACTGAGAACCTATAGGTTTCTCTCAAGTTCAGAGGCCTCAACTAACTCTTCTTCATAAATCAATTTTTCTTGAGGATCTCTCCCTCTCTTTCTCTCTCTCTCTCTGTCTGTCTGTCTGTCTGTCTCTCTCTCTCTCTCTCTCTCTCTCTCTCTCTCTCTCTCTCTCTCTCTCTCTCTCTCTCTCTCTCTCTCTCTCTCTCTCAGACTGTCTCTATCTCTGTTTCTCTCTCTTTCTTCTTTCTCTTCCTGCTGTTCTCTTGGTCTCAGCCCCCCCCCCTTTTTTTTTTTACTTTATCTTTCTTCATTTCACTCTCCATCTCTTGTTCGATCTCCCCCTGTAAGTCTCTCTCTTTCTTCTCTCTTCCCTTTCTCTCTCTCTCTCTCTCTCTCTCTCTCTCTCTCTCTCTCTCTCTCTCTCTCTCTCTCTCTCTCTCATTTTAAATGCATTTCCTCTGTATTTAGTACAAGAATCCTCATATGTTGTCTTCATTTCTGTATATTCATTCAGATGCATTGACCAGCAGTACCGCAGCCATCTACCAGACACCAGTGTGGTCATCTGTTTCCACAATGAGGCATGGTCAGTGCTGCTGCGAACTGTTCACAGCGTCATTGACAGGACACCAGCACACCTGCTCAAGGAAATCATCCTGGTGGACGATTTCTCTGACATGGGTAAATAATGCACTGTCTGGTTACTGTCTGACATGGGTAAATAATGCACTGTCTGGTTACTGTCTGACACGGGTAAATAATGCACTGTCTGGTTACTGTCTGACATGGGTAAATAATACACTGTCTGGCTATTGTCTGACATGGGTAAATAATGTACTGTCTGGTTACTGTCTGACGTGGGTAAATAATGTACTGTCTGGTTACTGTCTGACGTGGGTAAATAATGTACTGTCTGGTTACTGTCTGACATGGGTAAATAATACACTGTCTGATTACTGTCTGACATGGGTAAATAATGCACTGTCTGGTTACTGTCTGACGTGGGTAAATAATGCACTGTCTGGTTACTGTCTGACATGGGTAAATAATGCACTGTCTGGTTACTGTCTGACGTGGGTAAATAATGCACTGTCTGGTTACTGTCTGACATGGGAAAATAATGCACTGTCTGGTTACTGTCTGACGTGGGTAAATAATGCACTGTCTGGTTACTGTCTGACATGGGTAAATAATGCACTGTCTGGTTACTGTCTGACGTGGGTAAATAATGCACTGTCTGGTTACTGTCTGACATGGGTAAATAATGCACTGTCTGGTTACTGTCTGACATGGGTAAATAATGCACTGTCTGGTTACTGTCTGACGTGGGTAAATAATGCACTGTCTGGTTACTGTCTGACGTGGGTAAATAATGCACTGTCTGGTTACTGTCTGACGTGGGTAAATAATGCACTGTCTGGTTACTGTCTGACATGGGTAAATAATGCACTGTCTGGTTACTGTCTGACGTGGGTAAATAATGCACTGTCTGGTTACTGTCTGACATGGGTAAATAATGCACTGTCTGGTTACTGTCTGACATGGGTAAATAATACACTGGTTACTGTCCGACATGAGTAAATAATACACTGTCTGGTTACTGTCTGACATGGGTAAATAATGCACTGTCTGACATGGGCATATAATGCACCGTCTGGTTACTGAAATCCCTGTTAGGGCCGCGTTAGCGCAGTCGATAGGAGACTCGCTTTCAAATCCAGCTGCGACTCGCAGCGGCCCACGGCCGGTGTTCGAAACCGGGCGGTTCGCGGGGATCACCCAGGTAATGGGTACCAGAGTTTACACTCTTTGGTAAATGAGGGAACGTCGCTGTATTTGAGGAGTTGCGTGTGTGTGGACGGCGACACAGGCGGATAGTTTCTTATCAGCTGTCCGTACTGGTGGCAGTGTTATTTTGGACAGCCAAAAAGAGCAACCAAGAGGTTTTGAAAGAGGCGGGAGCCCGAAGACAACTTATCACAGACATCACAAGGAGAAAGTCATCATTTTTCGGCCATGTTATGAGAAGAGGGAAAATAGAACATGTTGTGACCACTGGAAAGATATGTGGAAGGAGAGATAGAGGAAGACAACGAGAGAAGATGCTTGACAGTCTTGTTGCATGGCATGGAGGTGTGTCGGCACACGAACTGATACATGCTGCAGGAGATCGCAGATTATGGAGAGGCATGATCGCCCACGCCAGTCGGCAAGGCACCTGATGATGATGACTGGTGGCAGAGCGCCTATGGTTTATAATCGCGTGCAATGACGCTGGTTCACATCTCCCGACTTCACCTTACCTTTACCTGTCTGGGTGCAAGGACCCATTTTAAAGGAAAGAAAGATTAGACTTGCTGCCCCTTAACAGGCAGGTCGTGATAAAACGCAGCTGATTAGTGATGTTGCCTTTAAAGTTGGAGTTCATCTCCCTAAGAGACAAGGAACCAACAGTCTGAATACTTATACGCCAGGTCTCTAGAGCGATTGTGCAGACTAAACTCACGCTCTGAGAAAATTACCGGGGGTGGGAATTTCTTTTGTATTCATTCATCACTGTTTTGTCTGAAGGTTGCACTTCAGGATTGAAGAAGTGGACAGTGTAGTTATATTTTGGTCTAATCTTTTTAGCAACAGAAAAATATGAGTTTACTTCTCAGTTGCTGGGGCCCAAGCGGAAAAACGAAGAACAGTAAAACTGTGGCCCACAAGGTTGTAAGACAGGGCTGGCTCGCTGACAGCTCGCGGGCTAGAAGTGACCCACGGATCATTGACGGTTGAATTTGAATTAATGATCTTTCTGTGCTGGGACTTGGGCCTCTGTCCCGTGACAAACTTGATTCTTCAAATGTTTGCCCCCAGGTAAAATTAGTTGAATAGACCTATTATGTTGTAGGAGATAATCAAGGAGGGTTGGCATGACACTTCACCCTGTTAAAAAACAAACTACCAAGAAAATTTTTTTTTTTTTTTTAAACCTGAGCTGCAAAATCCAAACAGTAAACAAATCTACAATGTGGTATCTGGTGGTTGAAGATTAATGAACACATATTTGAGGTACATTAAATTTGGTTTATAAAAGACCCAAACAGATCCCCATATTGATTTCAAGGCCCCATTGGGGGAAAGGGGGGGGGGGGGGGTAAGAAAATACTACCTCCTCCCTAACAGGCATGTTGTAAAAGGCAGCTAGTAGGATGCTTCCTTCAATGTCAGATGTCAGAGTGAGTCGTGAGGTACCAACAGTCTGCATACAAATAAACCAGGCCTGTAAAATGGATGTGATACAAAACTCAAGGTCTCGATTAAGATTAAGACAAGCAGAACTTTCCATCAGAGTTTATATCAGGTGAACGTGAAGAAGAAGAAGAAGAAGAAGAAAAATTGCACACAAATGACTCTTTATGTTAACATTTTCTTATACAAATCACACCAGAACACCTGAAAAAGCCTTTGGAAGACTACGTTGCAAAACTCGGGAAAGTAAAGATTACACGTACGAAAGAACGTGAAGGTCTCATCAGGGCTCGTCTGGCTGGATTTGCTGTAGCCACAGCAGAGGTGGTCACATTCTTGGATTCCCATTGCGAATGTGCGAAGGGTAAGTAAGATGTCAAGAAAGAGTTGCATGTATATAACATGATCTTCCTTTTCTTCGGTCAATACTCAGTGCTGACATAATGAGGACTAACAGCTTGCAATGCATGGGAAATATAGAGGGCATGGCAGACAACAGAGAGACAAAAACTGTACATGAAAGAGTTGAACGGGACATGAATGATACAGGTATTGAGGTAGACTCATGGGAACAAAATGCCATGGGCTGTGCTGTGTGAAAAGGGTACACCAGGAAGGGAATGAGAATGAAGGAAGAAATTATTGCAGAAAGGATAAGAGCTGAGTATCTGAGAAGAAACAGACTAAACACAAATGTTGACAACAACGGTCCCAAAATCCCATGTTATAATTGTGAAAGACTTTTCTTAACGCAGATGGGTCTTGTTAGTCGCACTTGTCATCACCATGGGCTGTGAATCCCATGCCCCCTCATAGTGCAGTTTAACACTATCATCTGGAGCGCAGTATAACACTATCATCTGGAACAACGGAAAGATGCCACTCATCCTCTTCTTCAGCATTCCGAGCCCTTGAGATTCATTGCTTCAGTTATTACCTGCCTCAGTTTATCTCTAGGATTGACCTTCTCTTTCTAGTTGGTGGCTCCAAGTGTTTGTCTCTACCTTCTTCTTGGTCTTGGTTGACTCCCCATTCAACTCATTTATTTAAAGTTGTTTATTTTCTCTGTTATCTGCTGTTCTCTCAGGATGCTCTATCCCTTGCAAGCTGTTAGTTCTCATTAGGCCAGCATTTAGTGGTTATTGAATCAGTCTTTCCATTCTCTACTGTTTGCAGTTTTGATGGGTCTAAAGATTTGTCATCTAGTTGCATGGCCTTAACAGTACGGTGCAAAACCAACACCAGCATTTTGTTTGCTTGTTTATGATTTCACTAGGCAATATTATGATCAGTAATTTGCCATTGTTTTCTGAATGCTCAACACAATATCACTTTCTGAACCAACACAATGTGCTCTGCTGCAAAATTGCCCACAGCAGGTATTGAACTGAGCGCCCCGGAAATAGGAAGCGTGTTCTGACTACAATAAATCTGTTGATACAATGAATAGAAGTCAATATCCCATGTTTTGAGTGAACCCAACGCCTTCAGGTTCAATAACATAATCCTAGTACTTAGCCCAGATCACGGTTAAAGTAAGCCAGTACACTAACTACTATGCTATGGCTCATAATCTGTGGCTCATGATTGAAAATTTAACTGCTATTTCTAAAGCTCACATTTCAGACATATTGATCTTTTTTTATGTGTCTTTTGTTTTTGTTGCTATTTGTTTGATGTTGTTGCAGAAGATACACTTTTTTTTTTTTTGGCAGGCTGGGTGGAACCTTTACTGGATCGGATCGCTGCCAATGAGACCACTGTTGTGTGTCCAGTCATTGATGTCATCGAGGATGACACCCTGAAATACCAGTACAGCAGTGCAAAAGCTACCAGCATTGGGGGCTTTGATTGGAACATGCAGTTTTCTTGGCATGGTATTCCTGATTACGAGAGACAGAGGAGAGGAAGTGATGTGGCTCCTATTAGGTAAACGTTGAGCTTCTTTGGTACTGCTGTAAATATCCTGTTGGCAGTCTATATGATATATGCTGTTGTTAGTGGTCGTGGTGGATTTAGTTCTTTATGTTTACCCATTGTTATTGGGTTCCATTCTTTTGTGAAGATGAATCTGTAAAAAAAAAAAAATCATTTGTGGAGTGTGCCCTCTTCTGAAAATCTTTTAATACAAACTGTTTGTGGAGCAAGGTCAGGAGGATCTGTAAGTATAAGTCCTATTTTAAAGATAAATCTGTGAACATCTCTTGTGGAGTCTGTCATGAAGATCTGTCCTATTTTAAAGATAAATCTGTGAACATCTCTTGAGGAGTCTCTCATGAAGATCTGTAAGTAGAAATCCTATTTTAAAGATAAATCTGTGAACATCTCTTGTGGAGTCTCTCATGAAGATCTGTAAGTAGAAGTCCTATTTTAAAGATACATCTGTGAACATCTCTTGTGGAGTCTGTCATGAAGATCTGTAAGTAGAAATCCTATTTTAAAGATAAATCTGTGAACATCATTTGAGGAGTCTCTCATGAAGATCTGTAAGTAGTTTTGTTTTAAAGATAAATCAGTGAACATCTCTTGTGGAGTCTGTCATGAAGATCTGTAAGTAGAAATCCTATTTAAAAGATTAATCTGTGAACATCTCTTGTGGAGTCTCTCATGAAGATCTGTAAGTAGAAGTCCTATTTTTAAGATACATCTGTGAACCTCTCTTGTGGAGTCTGTCATGAAGATCTGTAAGTAGAAATCCTATTTTAAAGATAAATCTGTGAACATCATTTGAGGAGTTTCTCATGAAGATCTGTAAGTAGTTTTGTTTTAAAGATAAATCAGTGAAAATCTTTTGTGAGTCTGTCATGAAGATAAGTAGTTTTGTTTTAAAGATAAATCAGTGAACATCTCTTGTGGAGTCTGTCATGAAGATCTGTAAGTAGTTTTGTTTTAAAGATAAATCAGTGAACACATCTCTTGTGGACTCTCTTTTTCCGAAGATTTGTCATTTAAATCTTTTCAGGATTCCTAGGCTCTTGTGGTTCATTCTTTCATTAAATATTTTACCAATGCAGTGATAGATTGTGCCTTCTGGGTAGTTACATGCTATGATGTCACATTATCCACAATCCTTTTTCTTGATCTCACTTTGCCTTTTTTTTTTCCCTCTAATTTTCCCACTGGCATGATGTATTCTAGTTTTCCCATGATGTGGCCAGATCATTAAGAGTGTATTAACTTGAAACAAGATTGTCTGACTGATTGCTGTTTGTTTATGTTTCAGGTCACCAACAATGGCTGGTGGATTATTTGCAATAAGCAGGCGATATTTTGAAAAGCTCGGTACCTACGACCCGGGGATGGACATCTGGGGTGGTGAAAATTTAGAACTGTCATTTAGAGTAGGTTGTGTGTGCGTGAAATGTCAGTTTATTGACATTGTGTGTATCCGTGTATCTATTTCACAGAGCTGTCATGTGTTTACATTGTCCTTTATATACCTTGTTTTCTCAGTATACACTAGAATTTAATGTTTATGTAAAAGTTTCAAGTATGTAACCTAGAATCAGTTTAACCATCTGTCTGCTGATGGACAAAGCTTAATAATCATATTACTGTGAGTCCTAGACAATCATAAACAAGCCTGAAAATCCCTTAAAGTTACATCATGGAGTTTTATTGAAGAATATTGAACTACTTTCCATGAGTAGTAATTGAAACGTTTTGAGTCAAATTAAGCTGAGTCAAATAACTTACACAAAACAATAGAAAATTGCAGACAACATGTTTGGGCAAGTAAAAAGCCAAAGAAGAATGAGAAACCTACACAGAACTGGTGTCAGCTGCTACACGCTGCAGGATTTGCTGAGGAGGGGATCTGAGCACTTATGGACAGAATGGTTTGATGTGCAATGAGGATAATCTTTTGACTAACTAAGGCTAGAACTAAAATACAATCGGAGAGACTTGTGGAAAAGAAGTAGAGAAATGTGACATAAGTAAAGTAAATGTCCCTTTTCCACGCCTTTAGGCATATAGGGCATATAGTGCTGGGTCAACCTGGAAGTCAGGGTCATTTTTATTTTTCAAAGTACGGCTCCGCCAGGTAACGAACCCACAACCTTCCGATCTACATGCAAGCATCTAGCCGCTACACCACAGCAATTCCCAAATGTAACAGAAGATTCTAGATATTTTTCCATCAAACATGGAAAAATATGAATACCTTCTGTTGGTCACGAATATAATCCGCTTCAGTGGGTAAGGCACCTGATTATATATAATTCAAAGTTTTTCACGTGTGGGATCTAGTGTTAATTGTATTGCAAAATTTTCTGAGTGTTTTTCTTTTTAAACTCTGGAGTCTACGGCTTGTGGTTTTATGTTAATTTTTCAGATAATTATTTTCATTATGGATTGATATTTCCATGAGCTTTAAAAAAGTTTAAGGACCCTTCTCCCTGCCTTTGGGCATATTGGGCACACAGGGCAAGACCTATATTTTATAGATCAGTCGACACTTGTTGGGTAATGTGGGCAGCATTATGCCGGTCACCTTTACTTCCTAGGACTGTACCTGGTCGCTGCTTAAGGCATGTCAACATGAGAGCCGAGGTCATTTTTGGAAACAGTGCGGCTCCATCAAGACCCGATTTCATGACCTTCCGGCCCACACTGTCAAGTGCCAATCAGTTTTTTTTTTTTTTAAAATATAAAAACCATGAATTGTAAACTCTTTGGCTCAGTACTATGGATATGACAACTTTGGCCTTGATTCCATAATAGATACCGTAAATCTGGGAAATATGTGGCTTGTCTGCCTTCCTCCAGCGTGAACTCTGACCACAAAGAGTTTGTCACCTGGTCGCCTTGCAGCTGGTTTAACCAACTTAGCTAGCATGCCGGACATAAGAATATTGGTCTAGCACCGTTTGATTGATTTGCCTGGGGAGTGAAAAAGATTCTTTACTTGACTTTTTTTTTTTTCCACGTGAGAATTCTTTATGTCCTTTCTACATCAAATCTTCTTCATCTTGTGTGGTCACTTCCTGTGTGGGTTCTAGGGCACCATTTGAGCACACACAGAAAGGGGGGAGGGGGGGATAGAATAGACTGACTGCCCCACTAAAAAGCATCCTGAAAAAATTAATTAATTATGGGTGATTCCATCTCAGTCAAAGTGCATCTGCTGGAGAGATGAGGCACCGACTGTCTGCATACAAAAAAGCCAGATTTGTAAAAGTCGGATGTGCAGGCAAATTTTAAGTGTTGAAACAAGACTAATGTCTAGAAGGGGATGAACAAACAGAACTTTCCACCGGGGGTCACAGCCAGTGAGCATGAAGAAGAAGAAAGTTTGGTCACAGCTGACATCATTAACTATTAAACTAGGTCGCAACTTGTATAATTTATTATTCACACTAACAAAGTCAATCTGCATAATGTTAAAATAATTTCATTGCAGGTGTGGATGTGTGGAGGAACTTTAGAGATTGTACCTTGCTCACACGTTGGCCACATCTTCCGCAAGCGCTCACCTTACAAGTGGCGGACAGGTGTCAATGTTGTGAAGAAGAACACAATTCGTTTAGCAGAAGTCTGGATGGATGAATACAAAAATTATTACTATGAACGCTTCAATTTTGACTTGGTAAGCAGACATGTTAATGGATTATTGCTTGGCACTCATACGGAAGACCCAGGTTAGAATTCCTAATAAGGTAGATTTGTTTCTGTAGTGAGCAAAAATAAAATCCTAACCTGCAGTCCCTGGTGTAGTGACAGCAAAACCATTGCAGCTCATAATCCTTAGGCTCAAAGAACATCCCCCCCCCCTTTTCACACACACACACGCACGCAGGCATGCACACACACACCCACCCCATGCCACACCACGCCACGCCTCACCTACCCTCACCTCGCCTCACCCCACTCACTCACTCACTCACTCTCTCTCTCTCTCTCTCTCTCTCTCTCTCTCTCTCTCTCTCTCTCTCTCTCTCTCTCTCTCTCTCTCTCTCTCTCTCTCTCTCTCTCTCTCTCTCTCTCTGCAAAAGAGGTAAATACATGCAGTATTTGACAGTTTGCTGCCTTCTCTTTAAAAAGTGTAATCTCTAGCACATTGTATTCAGATTATAGTTAATTAGCTTTAGTCTAGCATCATATGCCATTGGGGCACAAAATGTGTCCTTTTTTTTTTCATGGTAATCTTGAAGGTGATATAGATTCTGTTTATGATTTGGGGATATTCTTATATGTCTTTTTTGTCTGTACTGACTGTAAACTCCAGCGGAAAGTCCTGGTTGTTCATCCACTTCTGGACTTTGGTCTTATTCCAGAACAGGAGTTCTACATGCAGATCTGTTTACAAATCTGGCTTATTTGTATGCAGACTGTTGTTTCCTCGAACCCCAGGCCGATGTACTCTAACTTTTAAGCAAACTTCCCTAATTAGTTGACTCTTATAACATACTTGATAAACGAGCAGTGGGTCTGTTCTTTTTTCCTTTCTTTTATGTAGTGTTTTTTTTTTTTTTTTTTTTTTTTTAAACAGGGAGACTATGGAGATGTTTCAGAGAGGAAAGAGCTCAGAAAGAGACTGCAGTGTAAATCATTTGATTGGTACATCAAGAATGTCTACCCTGACCTCTTTGTGCCAGGTGAAGCTAAAGCTTCTGGAGAGGTAACTGTTTTTTATTTCCAGCGTTTCTTTTGAACAAAATGAGCACCTGGTTTTAAATGAAAGATGATCATGAAAGCATTGGCTATATTTCATAAAGTTAAAAAAAAAACAGTAAAGATCCCTTTTCGTGCCTTTAGGCGCATCAGGATACGGCAAGAGCACCCATATTTTTACAGACCAATCGGCACTAGATGGGCAATGTTGTCAGCATTAACCCGGCCATCTTTACTTCCCCAGGACATACATATTGGTACCAATTTTAGGCTGGGTCAACCTGTGACACCCCATTATAAAAATCCACACAGGCTATATTTCATATGTAGAAGAAATTGTTTTAAAAAACACTAAGTGTTGACAGTGACCTTTTACTACCAAACAATACCCAGAAAGCTCCGGAAATTGTCTCATAGTCTTTTTTATGGGCCTGGGTTTATCTGAGAGCTATAGTGGCACTGTGTAAACGAGAACAGTTGTCTCAGAAAGGCAGTTGGCAGAAAGTTATAACACCAACCTCTGTACCACTGCAGCTTCACTTGGTTGAGTACAGAGTATTTACAACCATGTTACTCATTTCATTGCAAATTTTTGAAGATTTAAACAGACATAGGAGCTAATTTTTTTCTTCTTCACGTTATGCCACATTTGTTCTCATGTGGTTTCTGGACCCCATTTTGGAGGGAAAAAAAGAACCCAGTGCTTCCCTAACCAGTTTGCTATAAAAGGTGGTTAATTAGGGGTTTTTCCTTCAGAGTCAGAATGTATCTGCCTGCGACACGAGGAACCAACAGTCTGCTTACAGATAGGCCAGATCAGTAAAAAGAATGTGCACACAAAACTGAAGTTCTATTTAAAAAAAAAAAAAAAAAAAAAAAGTCTGGAAGTAGACAGACAACCGGAACTTTCCGCTGTAGTTTACAGCTGGTGAATACTAAGAAGAAGACCATGTTTCCATTGTTGTGATTGCACTTGTCTAAATTTAGGACTAATATAGGATCAGATACGAAATTTGGTTTTAAAAAAAATATTAAATTATACTCAGGCTTCTACTTCTAGCTGTTACAAAATAATTTCACAATAACGTGGCCAAGATGCTAATCTCTTTTATAGAAGTTTTAATATTTGTTGTAAAACTGACGAAGAATATCTGACAGTTGACTTTCTTTTGCTGTAAAACTGATGAAAAATTGTGTGATAGTTGACTTTCTTTTGCTGTAAAACTGAAAAGAATTGTGGGACAAGAGACTTTATTTTGTTATAGAACTGATAAGAAATATGTGACAAATGGCTTTCTTTTGTTGTAAAGCTGATGAGACATGTGGGACATGTGTTTTGCTGTAAAACTGATGAGAAATTTATGATAAACGACTCTTTTTGCTGTTAGATTGATAATAAATGTGGGACAATTGACTTTCTTTTATTGTAAAACTGATCAGAAATATGTGACAACTGACTTTCATTTGCTGTAAAACCAATGAAGAATTTTAGATCCTTGTGTTGTTATCTTATAACTGAACATCTGCCTTTCAGATTCGGAACAAGGATAAACCAATGTGTATAGACAGTCCAGCAGATCACAATAACTACCACAAGGCAGTTAACATGTGGCCTTGTCATAATCAGGGAGGCAATCAGGTAGATTTTTGGTTTGTTCACTCTTTCTCTTTTATTTTCCATATGGGTTCCAGGGCATTATTGGGGAGGGAGAGAGGGATAGACCTTCTACCTCCCAACAAGCATGTTGTAAAAAGCAATTAGGGACTTCTGTTTTCAAGATGGCAACGAGCAACTGTGATATTTTTTGCTGGCTGTGATTTTTCTCTCAAATTGCTAATTTTTGCTAATGGACCGTTATTTTGTGCATGTTTCCAATGCAGGATTAGTTAGGTTAGTTGCGTATCCTTTACAGAACGTTGCAGAACCAACCCCAGCAGCTCCTGGCTGTTGTGTGGTTTTTCTAGGCAAATTTGCGTCCAGTAGTTTGCCATTGCTTTCTGGGCGGTCGGCCCCCTGATATCACTGTCAAAACCAACGCAAGGCGCATGGCCCGCTGCTGGGATCGAACCTGGCACCCCGGCATTACGAAGCGTTCGCATCGACTTAGCCACAGAGCTGACTAATGCAAGATACATTGTATTTTACATGTGGCTGTGCTATGTCAATGTGGGATGATGATGGATAGATGGTTTTTGCAGTATTGAGCACACTGTTTTTAGAGTGTTTCGATAGTGCCAGCCCACTTTCTGGGAAGACAGAATCACATCAGTGGGAAACCGCAAACTGTCTAGAGAGCAAACTCGATAAAACTTGTCACCAGTAACAGAATGTGCCAACCATTTTTTGGGTAGGGAGGAATCGACACATACGGTTAACTTATTGGCCATAACCATGCTATAAAAGGCAAAAGAAAGATACCATAGTGCATCTGCTTGAGGGAAGGAACCAACAGTCTGCAGACAAATAAATCAAATCTGTAAAAAAGATGTGCATGCAGAACTGTAATTCTGGGAGTCCAGAAGTGGATGAACAACCAGAACTTTCCGCTGGATCTTACAGCCGGTGAATACTGAGAAGAAAAGGAGTGCATAATAGCTTTAAAATAAGACTTTTTGCTGTCCATTTTATTATTTACCATCTGCTGTGGCTTCCCACTTGTTATTCATCTCTATGTCCTTTAAAAATGTCATGTAATAGAGCTGTGGTGTTTCAATTTTCAGATGCTGCTGTCAGTCAGCTTTCTTTGTTGTTAAGATTTCTGGGTCAGCTAGACCTAAAATAGTTTCCATCAAATCTCACACCTTTGATATATGTAACCATCCATTATCAAGGTACACAGCCCAGTTCATCCAGCTTTAGAATATCCAGGCAGTAAAAGAACATTATTTATTTCAGACAAAATTATATTATATATTTCAGACAACATTAGAACATTATGGATTTTATTTATTTCAGACAGCATTAGAACATTATTTGTTTTAGACAGCATTAGAACATTATTTGTTTCAGACAGCATTAGAACTAGGGCTGTACTGAATAGTGATTGTCACTATTCGGCCAAATATGAATTGCTGGACCAACTATTCGGCTGAAGACGAATAGTGAATCATCATCATCAGGTGCTTTGCCGACTGGTATGGGCGACTATGCCTCGCCACAATCTGCAATCTCCTGCAGCATGTATCAGTTCGTGTGCTGACACACCTCCATGCCATGCAACAAGACTGTCAAGAATCTTCTCTTCCTCTCTCCCTCCTTCCACATATCTTTCCAGTGGTCACCACATGTTCCATTTTCCCTCATCTTATAACATGGCCGAAAAATGATGACTTCTGATGTCTGTGAGTAGTTGTCTTCGGGCTCCCGCCTCTATCAAAACTTCTTGGTTGCTTTTATTTTTTTGGCTGTCCAGGGTATTTTAAGCATTGTTATGTAATACCACATCTCTGAGCACCGCTCGCCTCGGTTCAATGTTCGTTCACTAGTCTTCTTGAAGTGAGCACTGCCCGACCCAGTTCATTGCTGGTTTACCAGCCTTCTTGTAGTAAGCACCGCTCGCCTCGGTTTGATGTTCGTTCACTATCCAGGGTATTTGAAGCATTGTTTTGTAATACCACATCTCTGAGGCTTCAAGAAATTGTTTGGCCTGCCTACCGATTGTCCAAGACATACAGCCATATGTTAACACTGGATTTATGTAGCAAGCAAGAACTCTTTTTCTAACCTTCAATGACAAAGATATATTGCATAAGATGTTCTTCATTTTATAAAATGCAGTTTTTGCCTGTCCTATTCTGTTTCTTATTTCAGTAATGCATCTTCCATCTGATGTTATCCATGTGCCCAGATACTTATATTTCCGTACTTGTCCCAAAAAAAAAAACCATTGATTTTTATTACACATTTAGGAGAAATTATTTTCTTTGAGACCACCATTACTTCTGTCTTCCCACTATTCACACTGAGGCCCATTCTTCCACTTTCATGTATAAAATAGATCTAAAAAGAAAATATCCATAATGTCAAATGTACGCTGACATTTTACTTCACACAATGTAGTACGGAATAGTAAACATTTAAATACATTTCATGTTTTGCATTTTTCAGTCAGTCAGTCTGTGGTATACATAGGAGTGAAAGTATTCTTAGTTTTATAACAAGTAACTAAACTTGTAAATTGTCACTGACAGCTCAATTAATCCATGAAAGCGGCATTAGCTTTTCACACACAAAAAGTCGTTCCATGTTGTCAGCATTAAGGCAGCTTCTTGTCTCACTGAAGGTATTTCCAGCTGTAATAAACAGACGTTCACTTGGTACGCTTGTGGGTGGTGCACAGAGATAATGCTGGACAGTATGAACCAAGGTTGGAAATCTTGGTATGTTTAATTTCTACCAGTCCAAGAACTGGTGTAAGGTAACCACTATTCGTATTCGGCCCGACTGCAACTATTCGGCCGAATACCGAATAGTTATTAGGTCCACCATTTGGCCCTGAAGCGAATATTCGGTACAGCCCTAATTAGAACATTATTTCTTACCGTATTTATCATCATCCTGTTGCGCAGCTATATGGCACATAGGGCTCGCAGTCTGTTTTTCCATTATGTTCTGTTATGCAAAATACTTTCAGTGTCATAGATGTAATCCAGTCCACAACCTTTGACATTTTATTGGGGGTTTTTTTTTTTTTTAGGTCAGATTATATTGGCACATTATTTAAAACAGCAACAGCATGTTATTTATTTCAGACAGCAAATCCACATGCTAATATATAACCTCCCCAAAAAAATAAGATCGCTGCTTATAAATAATTCCATTTCTTTTAATTTTATTTTGTAAATTAGTTTTGGATGCTGAGCAAAAATGGGGAGATAAGACGAGATGAAGGCTGCTTAGATTATTCTGGAGGAGATGATGTAATTATCTACCCTTGCCATGGACAAAAAGGCAACCAGGAATGGCAGTACACAGAGGTTTGTTTTTTCTTTCTTAAAATTTGTTTTTCTTTTACATTATTGTTTTACATCAGAGTGCAGCTGTAATTAACATATGGATGTGAGGTTAAGCAGTCATGTGCAGGATGTGATGGTTCCTTGGATGAGCCCAAGTACACAGCATCATGTGTCAACTCTGCATTTATGAAAGCCTCCTTGGTTGGCAGGAAATGCCCTTGTTCCGCCTCTGCTTTCGCTTGAGGGCCAATCAGTTTGCATTTGGCTGCCCTGGACGGGTTTACTAAGGGTAACACCTGCAGGAAAAAGGAATAAGAGGACACCAAACAACTAAGGCTACGTCAAAACAATGGCTACAGTCATCCCAGAGAAAGGATCCGACAAGGCACAACATACTGCACACAAATAAGCCAGTAAAACAAATGTACACGGAAAACTCAGGTCCTGACACAAAGCCAACATCCAGGTGGACAGACAGCCAGGGCTTTCCAGTCTGTGAACGCCAGCTCATATAGACCTGTGTGTTTAGTCCTCCATTGTGGTTTCTTGTCAATCTTTTCAGTATCATGGATAGAATCAACTGTACTGTGTTTGGGTCCTCTCTCTCTGGCTCTGTCTGTCTCTCTCTGTCTCTCTCTTTGTGTCTGTCTCTCTCTGACTGCCTTTCTCTGTCTCTCTTGCTCTGTCTCTCTCTCTGTCTCTCTCTGTCTCTCTGTCTCTGTCTCTGTCTGTCTCTCTCTGTCTCTCTCTGTCTCTGTCTGTCTGTCTGTCTGTCTCTGTCTGTCTTTCTCTGTCTCTCTCGCTGTCTCTCTCTCTGTCTCTCTCGCTCTGTCTCTGTCTCTCTCTGTCTCTCTCTCTGTCTCTCTCGCTCTGTCTCTCTCTCTCTCTGTCTCTCTCTCTGTCTCTCTCTATGTCTCTCTCTCTCTGTCTGTCTCTCTCTGTCTGTCGGTCTGTCTCTCTCTGTCTGTCTCTCTGTCTCTGTCTGTCTCTCTCTCTGTCTGTCTATCTCTCTGTCTCTCTCTCTCTGTGCGTGCGTGCATGGGTGGGTGATTGGGTGGATTTGTGTGTGTATGTGCGGGCTCAAGTGTACATGCATTTTGCCACCCATGCTTTTGTGTTTTTGCTTCATATTCATAATATACATTTTGACTCATACAAGTTCTAGCATGCAAGTCATAGTCCACACAAAGATTGTATAGCAACCACAATTTCTTTGCATGTAAACAGGACATCTAACAAGTTGGACGTATACCAAAGTGGACATTTATAGAGAGACTGTGTATATGTTTTGTGAACCAGATGCTGTTTAAGAAAGAACCTATTTTTTTTGTTAATCATTGACTATATGAGAACCCATATGTTTTGTTAATACCATGTACTATATTAGATCACATATGTTTGGTTAACCATCCACTCTGTATGAACAAACATGTTTGAGCAACCATAGACTCCATGTGAATAAGCTTGGTTAACCATACACTGTATGTGATAGCATCTCATCTATGGTTGTTACCTTTACAGGCCAATGCCCTGTTGCACGTGAACACCCAGAAGTGTGCAGAGATAAGTGTGGATGGCAAGAAACTGCTGATGAATAAATGCACCGGAGTCGACCGCCAGATCTGGCAGTGGAAGCGGAAAACACCAAACACAGCAGTAAACGTTGCAAGTGCCTAAATCTCCATGGTCTAGTTATACATTTGTAAATCATTTTTAACCGATTTCAATCTGTGGATTGTTTGTTGTTTTAATGCTATAAAAATTTAAGCTGTATGAAATGTGTAACTGGCATACGTTCATTTATTTTTATTTAAAACTCAGTTTCCAGCTGTTCTTGCTGTAACAGAAAATGTCTGGTTTGGGAATTCTGGGAATAACTATCAGAAAAAGTTTAATAAATGGGACAGGCTTGCTTACAGTAACAACTGTGTCAGACTGAATGGATTAACAAGTAAAAATGGCTGATTTGGGTAATGTCACAACTAGAACAGAATGAGTTAAATATCTGCTGTACATTTTGCCATGTAAAGAGTGATTGAAGTGAAAGTCTGGGTTGGCACACATTAGTCCAGTTTCTAGTTTATGTTTTTAGTTTTGTTGTCAGTGCAGTAATATTTCAACATGTAGATAGTAGTCTTGGCAGTAAAAAAAGAGGACTAGTTAAAGGTCATACTGGTGGAAGTATGATCCGGGTTAGAGAATGCATTTATGTGAAAAGTTTATTAAAGGGTAGTTAATGTCCTGTAACAGTGCCTTCGTCTACAGTGCCATGCCAGTTATGTAAATGTGTGATTAAAATTTAAATAGTCAATGTCACTGCAGAAGGCGTCAGTAAAATGGATGCATACCTGTATTTAATATTCACCAGCTCAGTGTTTTAACCATCTCCCTCTTTAGTGCCTTTCTGCTCACTGACAAGCCAAATGTTTGTTTTTATGGCTAACAGATGAAGAAAACAGGTTAATTAAGCCCACCACAGACATTTCTGGTGGCATGTTAGAGTTCTTTTTTTTTAAAGTCATTGCTGTGTGGTGTTGGTAGTCATGTCTTTCCACAACCATCTGTCTCAGTACTTCAGTCAACTCTGACACAGATGATCCTCCATGCCATGATGTCCAACAGTCCAGCATCTTTTCTCTCGGTCTCTTTCTGCCTCACCTCCCCTCCAACTTTCCTACTGTCATGATGTACTCCAGTTTTATCCTTTTCATCACATGACCAAAGGAAGTAGATTGTCTCTTTGTGATGTGAGCAATCAGTTCTCTTTGTGAGTCAGTTTCTTTCAAGACATCCTCTTTTTTATTTGTCCCGGGTAATCTCATCATCCGTCTAAAAAAACCACATCTCCACAGCTTACAAATAATTTTTCAATAATCTACCAACTATCCATGATTCACATCTATATATCAAGATAGGATTTATATAGCTTTTAAGAGTTCTCATTTTCATCTCAATTGACAACAACAACAAAATTACATAAAATATTCTTCATGTTGTCACATGCTGCCTTTGCTTGAGCTACTCCACATCTAGCTTGATGTTAGAGTTAGTACATTTAAATTTTAGTTTTAGTAAAGGAGGTCACAGATTTCCTTTTTCATTCCTTTGTGCTTCAGCTTAACCATTTTGTTCCAGAATTTCTTTTTTATACAATTTCCTATCCCTAGGTTGGCACGGGAATTTGAGGTCATTCTGAAGAAATTTTAATTACAGCCCCCGAATTCCTATTAAAAAATCCCTCCGTCCTTGATTTTTTAGGGAATTTCTGCTCATTCTGACAGTTTGATGTAACAAATCTGGCAGGTTGAGTCAGTAATCAAACTGTGTAAATAACATTACTGACATTCAACTGGTTGTCACTGTTATTCCACTTTAGTGTTATAGTCACTCATGCAGTGACTGATGCTAAAGTATGTCAGACACGATGAAAATATCAATGAATAAAGAATAAACCCACCCACACTGGACGGCAGGTGACTTCATATCCTTCAGATGCTCTAATGTAACTGTGCTGTTTAGTTGAACAGGGTTCTTGTGATTTGCTCCTGTTAGATTACCAGAATATTGTCTCCAGCAGTCAAGGGGCGTTCATCTTTCAGAATGTATTTCTGGAGTGAGAAAATTTAAAAACAAAACATTAGAAAACTGTCTTGTAGTTTTGTAGAAAGGACACCTAAACTTCTTCTTCGTTTGCCCTTAACCCTTTTCAGTCCTAGAAAATATTTAGATACCCAAGGAAATTATGTCTACAATGGAAAAAATATTAATGTGATACATGTTAACATATCTAGCCAGATATCTTTAGCATGCTAAGATCAGATGTAAACAAATATAATGACACACTGTTTTTTGTTCGATACACACTGACTACAACTGATCGATCCTACACTGTGATGTATTTAGGACAGAAATAGTTACAAGGACAGGAATCTAAAGATAGTGACATTTCAGTATTGTTAATGAATGTCTAATAATTTGACAGTGCGGCTCTATGACTTACATTTTATTGAAATGGTTTCACAATGTAATTTTCTACGTTTGCCAGGGTACAATTCCCATGGTGGCTGTTCTGAAAAGGACTATTCTTGTAGCTTTCAGTCAGTAGATGAGAGTTGCACCATGGAAGAGATTAGTGCCTCATCACATAATATTTCCATAGCTGGCATTAGACGCAATTCAGCCAACCTATTTTGTGGAAACGACACAATTTTGTTTTTAAAAATAAGTAAACAAATATCAGATACGGAACATTCCGACAGTATTTGTTACCTGACACCGATTTAGGCCAGAAAATATGAACAAGAAAATTCCCTAAATGTTTTGAAATAACAGTAGGTAATCTTCAGATTCTTCTTCTTCAGTCATCTCTGGTCATGCACTTAATCCACTGTGGGCCATAACTGGGATGTCAGCTTAAGGTGTCTTAGATTTCCCCAAAGCTTAGTTATCAGTTCCACTGGGCATGGCCACATGTTGCTTTGCAGCTCCGTCAAGAGAAAACAGTCTTGCAAGACATGTTCTGGAGTCTGTTCAGCACGAAGACACTGACAGGCAGCTGTTTGACTGCATACCTAATTGATATGTTTGGAGCTGTTTGTTGAGTCTGCAGTGTCCAGTGCTTATTAGAAAAACTGTGATTTGGTCTGTTCTGTTCAGATGATTGGGGGAATCTTGTTAACTTCAGATTCAAGTAAAAGTTGCTGCACTGGTTTTTAATAAAAAAAAACATTCTTGGATAGAACAGCAGTGATCAGTCAAGAATTACCAACCTCCTATTCACAAATACTAATAAAATTTCATTAGTTTTCCTTACTTTGTTATATGACCTTGTGACTGTGTGGGATGATTTAACAATATCATCTAGTCTTATGTTGGCTACATCTTAGCTTCTGTCACAATACTGAACATTTGTTTAAGGCACGTGAAGGATATTGTTATGAATTGTTTCTAGTTGTGAGGTCATCAACATCTTCACACCAGTTGCTTTTGTATATGATTTTTTTGGGGGTGGAAATCAAATTTGAGATGGTGATCTCTGTTGCTGTGTTCACATTTTTTTTAAATGCTGATTTTCTGTTAAATTGACACTGGTTTGTATGTAAGAGATAAGTTAAGTCCACTACCATCTGTTATTTATTTTTGGTAAGTGGTTGAATGTTTGTAAAAAATGTATGATCCAAGAAAAGTTTGTGAATTATACTTGAGCTTGTTGATAATGCACATTCGTGACAAAATGTTTCTGTGAGGGATTATGTGTTGTAGATCATTCAGGGATCGACCCCACTACTCAGACTTTTATCTCACCTGCCTCAGTCTCTTTCCACAGGACAGCTGGCTACTTGTTGAGAGCATTGCACAAAGCACAGACTCTTAAGCACAATCAATGACCCCCAGGGTTCTCGGAAATAATTACACCCCTAAACCATGCAACAGTCGAACCAAATTGACACCATGTTCTTCAAAGCATGAGGAAAACTCTTAACTACTTTCACACTCTTCTTCTTCTGATTCACCAGCTGTAAACTCCAGCAGAAAGTTTTAGTTGTTCATCCACTCCTGGAATTTAGTCTTATTCCAGAACTTGAATTTTACATATACATCCTTTGTACAGATCTGGCTTATTTATATGCAGATTGTTGGTTCCAGGCCTGTCAGGCAGATGCACTCTGACTTAGCAAAGACCCACACCCATGTTGTAGAAAGTTCCGCTGAATGGTTATTATGTACCTCACACATCATGAGAAACAAACACACAAATGCTATAAGTTTCTGGTTCTGAAATGGTTTGTGAAGTATAACATTTGTTTCATGCAAATGACTGTTATATTTTTTCTTTTAAATATAGTTTCACATTTTTTGTGATTACGCAGTTAGTTGCCAATACTTTTGGTTTTGATAGAATTTTGTCTTTGAGTTTTGCAATAATCATTTTTGATAGACTTCTCACAGCTGATGACTTGAAGTGGGTTGGGTAACCATGTGTACCATTTTTACTAAGACAATGCCAGTTTTCTGATGTTTCCTGGCTGTCCTGTCTGTATCCATGTGTCCTGTCTGTATCCATGTGTCCTGGCTGTATCCATGTGTCCTGGCTGTCCCATCTGTATCTGACATGTCCTGGCTGTCCCATCTGTATTCATGTGTCCTGGCTGTCCCATCTGTATCTGACATGTCCTGGCTGTCCCATCTGTATTCATGTGTCCTGGCTGTCCCATCTGTATCTGATGTGTCCTGGCTTTCCCATCTGTATCCATGTGTCCTGGCTGTCCCATCTGTATCCATGTGTCCTGTCTGTCCCATCTGTATCCATGTGTCCTGGCTGTCCCATCTGTATCCATGTGTCCTGTCTGTATCCATGTGTCCTGGCTGTCCCATCTGTATCCATGTGTCCTGTCTGTCCCATCTGTATCCATGTGTCCTGGCTTTCCCATCTGTATCCATGTGTCCTGGCTGTCCCATCTGTATCCATGTGTCCTGTCTGTCCCATCTGTATCCATGTGTCCTGGCTGTCCCATCTGTATCCATGTGTCCTGTCTGTATCCATGTGTCCTGGCTGTCCCATCTGTATCCATGTGTCCTGTCTGTCCCATCTGTATCCATGTGTCCTGGCTTTCCCATCTGTATCCATGTGTCCTGGCTGTCCCATCTGTATCCATGTGTCCTGGCTGTCCCATCTG